TGTGAAAGTTGAGCACAGTAATTATATGTTGTTTTCATGTCTTTTTTTCCATATGTTCTTTAGACGTTTGACCTTCCTTCTTTCTAGCCTCGGCCCGTATGCATTGGGTGCAATTTGGAACACATTCACCAAGGACGCTTTTGGGCCAGGACCTGCGTTGGACTGTTCTCCGCTACAAAAGTGCTTCAAGTTCAAGAAGCGCTCTTTGCGACACCAAGAGCACTTTATATAATTACTGACCAAACGTTACAAAAAAACCAAAGGCATCGATCTTGGTCTTGACTATTTCCATCTACTTGATTGTTGGTTCGTTTTGCTCTTGTACAGTTCATTTGCATGCTTTCTTTCTTCAGCTTCTTTTTGTCCTTGTTTTTCCACTTGCTAGAACCTTAGTTGCAAGGACAGACTTACTGCAACTCTGGACCTCTCGACTGTGATATGACAAATTATGTGAGGCCATCTGAGACTGAGCAAACCTACTAGCAATATGTCCCAACTTAAGAGCGATGGCCTCCAACCTACCAGCAATGGCCTCCACCCTAATAGCGATGGCCTGTAGACCGCGTAGCGGCAGGTTCCGAGATGTACCCGATTGAAAATCTGAGGCATGCGCAAATCCAAGAGTTTGCTGATCTGAACCTGTCCACTCACTGAAACAGCAAAACCCGAAAGCCGAACATCAATGGCCGACCTGGACGTGCTCCGTGATGAAGCCGCTCTCCACCTTGGCAAGTGCTCCAGGTACAAAACAAGCCATCATGGGTCACAGGGGGGTCACAGGGGGGTCACAGTCCTCATATCTGAGAACAGCACCATCATCCTCCATTGATCCAAAGCTTGTGGGCTATCCTGGTCATCCAAGCCTGGACCACTGGATATCTCTGGACCATCTGGACCTCTTAGACAATGAACCTACAACCTCTTAAAGTCTTAGCATCTCTACGTATGACCGTATGACTCTCTCTCTCTCTCTGTTGGCGGTCACTTGAGTGTCTTCTGGAGCCTTTTCAAACAAATTAGACAACACGTCCTCCAAACCAAACATCTAACCTCTTTTGTTCACATCTCATATCTTTCCCAACCTAAGAGCGGCATGTTCCGCCTTTTTTGCTTTGTTCCAGTCTTCATCTGCCTCCGGAGTGCGCTGAGGACATTGAGCCGCAGGGGCCGCCCCCCGGGCCCGCTAGGCCCGCCAGGCCCGCTGACACCCTCTGACACCGGTGCCGTTTCGGTTGGCGCCGGCGGGGCTGATGCTGGAGCAGAGCCTTGGCCTTGGGCAGTGAAGGATCAAGTCACCGGTGAAAACATGAGTAAACCTTATAAAACCACATATATATATAATGTATCATATTGCTTCCTGACAGTCGGCTTATGGCACATTGTTCGCATGTTCACACCCATGATCTCTCTTGTGAGCTTCCGTCAGTTCCAACCAATGGACCAAGGATGGCACTGGAGAAGAAACTCAGTAGCGACATGTTGGAGAATGATGCTGCCGGTCCGGTGCAAAGCTATGTCAAGCAAGAATGTATTGAATTGATTATTGATTTGCTCGTGCCTTGTTCCTCAAGGGTTGGGAGGGAACCTGACCCTTAAGGATGCGTCACACAATCTGATCGGATAATTGCACCTTGCTGGTGATGGTTGTCGGTTGTTGTTCTTTGGAGGCTTGAGCTAGCCATAACTGGTTTCATTGCCAGGTTTGTGTCTCCAAAGCCAACCTGACAGCCGCAGATCCAAAGCTTCGAGTCCAGGCATGGAATGCAAAGCCTTGCCACGTTTCGAATTGAAAAGCTGCGACCTGTGGCAAAGAAAACTCTTTTTGCCCTCAGTTGTTCATCTTGTGCTTCTTTGGCACAAGATTAACAATTTAAACATGTTGTTCTGCTGCCCACTGTAAGGTCCCTGGAGAACTCCTGGAAGTGGAGTGACCCGGTACCGAGACCGGACGAAGAGAGGCTCTGAATGTGCTCTCAAGATCATCCAGAAGGGTCCTGAGACCCTCCGCGAAGGGCGTCGGCAGATTCGCTCGGCGAGACTTGTCAACGACTCGCTTCAGTCGACTGATGTCCAGAGCTCGGTCCGGAAGAAACGACGCTTGGTCCGACTTGAGTGTAACTTGGAGCTGTTGGTTCGGTGTGTTCGCTTTGTTTTCCCCGCATGCTCCGTTCAAAGAGCCGCAAGGACCAAAAGCCTTCGACAAGGTTTGCGCCATCTGGAATTCAGTGAGCCTCTCTGGTCCCTGCCAATGGTAGATGCCGCGTAGCTCTTCACCCTTGGCCAAGTTCTCAAGCAACAACATCAAGAGTGATGCCACATCTCCAGCCAAAGTTGGGTATAAGGGCTGGGTGCTAAATTTGCACTCACCCTGCAGAAGCCGCTGCAGCAAACCTCCATGAATCATGTGCTCTGACCAGTTCACACGCTACAAACATTTTCCCGACTTGCCGAATTGCAATGGCCTCCCCAAAACCCAACACTAAGAAAAGGTGCCCAAAGCGGCTCCCAAATTGTCCAAGAGACAGGTCACTGGCGATTCTCCAAGAGTTTGAACTGAGCCGTAAAGACATGAGACACGGATCACTGCAGCACGGTGCCGATGGCCTGCAAACTCATTAAAGTAAAACTTTAAACAATTATTCCGACAAGAGACCCCAAACAGTGTGTGTGAGGTGAGGTCTAGAGGTGCAGTAGCAGAAAGTCTGGAGATCTAGACGCGCTGGGGTCCAGACAGGTGATGGTGATGAAGGTGGTGATCGTGGCGGCGGTGGTGAGCGAGTGACCTGTTGCGAGTGTGAGCGAGAGTGAGAGTGAGTGTGAGTGAGTGTAAGTGAGAGTGAGTATGAGGGTGAGCGTGAGCGTGTGTGAGTGTGGCCTCCAACCGAATTAATAGCAATGGCCTCCACCCCAATAGCGCTGGCCTCCAACCTAATGGCATGTCCTCCAACTTAAGCCTCCAACCTAATTAGCGATGGCCTCCAACCTAATAGCCTTGGCCTCCAACCCAATAGCAACAGCCTCCAACCTAATAGCAACAGCCTCCAACCTAATAGCAACGGCCTCGAACCTAATAGCGATGGCCTGTAGACCGCCTGCAACGTTGGAAAGCTGACGGTGCGCGCCAGCCTTTTTAGTCCGAATTCATGTCGGACATATGCGCCAGACTGCTGGCGGGGCTGCTCGGAGTATTTGCCCCACCAGGCCCGAAGGTCCCGCAGCTCTTCCTGAAGGAGCGGAAAGTTGAACGATCAAAGCAGAAGAGTCTTAAATGTTCGGGCGTCGGCCGACTTCTGTCCTATACTTCCGGTGCGCAAGTGAAAAAAGGAATAAACATTCGAGCGCTGCAGCTACAGTGTTCTCATCAGCCACAACCATTTGCCAATACATTTGACCCATTCCGGAATTGCCCCTTTGATCTCTCTGGGGGGCAGCGCAAAGACAAAATATGTACACAGATTCACTCACTCACGTTGTCTTTGCCGGTGCGGGCAACAAGGGTATGTGAAATGTCAATGAGGTGGGCAAGTCCCGTCCAACGCAATCAAATTGGCCAGGAGCGTAATTCAACGTTCTAGCCCAACCCTCAACTCATGACAGGTTTGAAACTGCAAAGGCATTCTCAACTATTTTCATGTTTTGCTTCACTGGTTACACGTCGGGTTTTGGGCAAATCGGGCTGATAAGTATAAGGTAGAATTCGCGATTTCTTCTTTGGTGCATTGCCTTTCTCCGTCTCTTGCTCAAGCTGTGGCCCGCACCGCTTTTGCGTTGGCTTTGCCACAGCTGCCTGCAGCCGGGCCTCTGCAGCGCTGCCCCGCCGGGAGACGCTCGCCCCTGCGAGCGTTCTCCATGTTAGAGCGGAGGGTGGCTGCAAACAGAGGTAGCCGGCTCTCGTGGAACTGCATGGCAGTCATGTTTCGAGCAGCGGTGGGGCCCTCATTGGTTGCAATCTGCTTTGCCCACGTGTTTTTTGGGGGGGCACCAAAAAGCCACCGAGCTAGGCGCAAACCCTAAGACCTAAGACTTGTTACGTGGCGCTCAAGCTACCCTTGGAAAACCAATCCAAGGCTTCACTAAAACACCACTGCCTGAAAGACCCTTTCGCGTTCCCACGTCACCTTCCCATGTTGCAAGGCCTCCAAAGCGCCGTCTTGGACGAGCGCCAGCACAGCTTCCACCTTTGGTGGAGCTTGGTCCTGCAAGCAAAAAATATACCGGCGTAGACGGCGTAGACCCCAAACAGTTTGTGTGTTTCCCAACCGCTCAAAGTGTTCCAACTCGCAGTGATCAGCTCTGGAATTCCTGGGTTTGTTTCAGCTCTTGACTCAATAATTGGTTCAAGGTCAGGACCAGCAATTCAAATGAAGACGGAACAAATGCTAATCTACTGCGCATGCTGAATTGTTCTGACATGTGGCTTTATCCTGCTTTGTTACTCGACTGGAGACAGTGGGAGACAAGTGGAAGACACATGTAAAATCATGCGGCCAGACAAACTTGGGACAGTGGAAAACAACTAGTGAACATATGTAAAGTCATCTGGCCAGAGCACCCAAGGGTGGACGGGAGACACATGTAAAATCACGCGTCTAGAGCACCCACACGGCACCTGAGACAGTGGGGGCAAGTGGGAAACACGTGCAGGGGGACGAATGTAAAAACACGAGGCCAGACAAACTGGTGACAGACGGAAACGATTGGGAAACAAGTGGGAGACAAATGTAAAATCATGCGGCCAGAGCACCCACAGTGTGCCAGGAACGCAAGCCCGGAGACTAATGTAAAATCATGCACCCTTTCATAAATTCATGCGGCCAGAGCACCCAGAGACTAGAGGGGACTGGAGACAATGGGAGACAGTGGGAAACAAATGTAAAATCACGCAGACAGAGCACGCAGAAGAGTGGGAGACAGTGGGCAACACATGTAAAATCACGCGGCCACAGTGTGGCAGGAATGCAAGCCTGGAGACTAATGCAAAATCATGCGGCCAGAGTAGAGGGACTGGAGACAGTGGAAGAGAAACGTAAAATCATGCGGCCACCGGTCATGCGGCCCTTTCAAAGGAGAAAGAGCCCCTCACAGGTGAACCTGTTTGGGGAACAACCAAGCGAGCGGGGCATCCAAGATACTTTCAACTCAAGCCGCAGCGGTTCTTTTCTTTGGAGAGTCAGGTAGGTTGATGGTGTTTGTGGTAGTCATTGTGGTCGAGCTAGATGGTTGATAGTAAGTTGTGGGTCATCTCACGTCTCTAGAACTATAGCTGGCTAGGGTTGCTAGCGGCTAGCAAGAAGGTCTCCCCCCAACTTCACCGTGTGACATTACAACGTGGGATGTTGCACCCCCCTTCGCGCGCCCAACCCGTTGCCACCCTGCTGGGTCTCAAGCGCGGGCTGGGCCAGCCGCGCGGGCTGCGCCGGCGCCGCGGCCGTGGCGGCGTGTTCTAGCACCAGGTGAGCCTCCTCTGGAGACACCCAGGCTTTGAACTCGCCCCGAAATTCAAAGTTTGCGTTTGCAAGCTGGAACTTCTTGGCCGCCCAAAAACTGAAAACTGCGGAGCGAGAGAGCAATTATATGATTTCCGGAAAGGCGCCAAGCACCATCTATAATGTGGGTCACTAAGTCTGGGATGGTCAATCTCATCAACCAGCTGCCCAACCTAATAGCAATGGCCCCCAACCCAATAGCAATGGCCTCCAACCCAATAGCGGGGCCTCCAACCTAATAGCAATGGCTTCCAACCCAATAGCGATGGCCTCCAACCTAATAG